ATTTTAGGTGATCAATAAGCTGCAGAGAGCTGCAATTTTGCAGCGTTAATTGTTACCCACTGTTGTGCCGTGGAAGTAAAGTACTTGTCAGCTGTTCTGCACCTCACGTGCGAACACGCGTGCACACGTGAAATTTGACGTAAGTCCGCAACCAGAGCAGCTGGAGTTCTGAAACTTTTTGAGCGTTACCCAAGGCCGTGTTTGAGTAACCCCAAGCGAAGAAAGCATCCACTTTACCATTCACGTACGAACACGTGAAATTTGACGTAACTCTGCAACTAGAGCAGCTTGAGTACTGAAACTTTTTGAGCACTACCTAGGGCCGTCTTTAAGTAACCCCAAGCGAAGAAAACACTCACGTTGCTACTCACGTACGAATACGTGAAATTTGGTGTAACTCCGCAATCGAAGCATCCAGAGCGCTGAATTTTTTGGGCATGGATTGGGAGTCATTGTAATAATGCCGTGGTGGCCAGTCACAATTCCTTTAGCTAGAAGCATCTGCCAGGAAGAAAGTGCCACTGGCGAAAAAAACCTGCAAAAAACGTATTCTCGTACCGGCGGCCGATACGCTTTCGACTAGGTTTTCACCTCGAAGTAGGAAAGGAGAAAGAGGAGATGTACCTATTAGAAGGAGAAAATTGAAGAAAATGAGTAACCTTGGGCAACGATATTTAGAGAAGTGCAAAATTTAGCCGCTGTGTTGCCAAATTTGATTTGAGGCACGTTAAATTCTGCAGAAATGGACCAAAATTTGTTTAAAAAGGCATTAAAATTAGCACATATGCGCTAAATTCACATATAAAACACGCATTGCGAAGGATAATAAGATTGAGCGGGATATTGATATATTTCATGTCAGTGATGTTATACATCAACACGTCATGCGCAGCTACGCCAGGCTATTTGGCTTTAGGCTGTATATCTCCAGTAATTATTCAGCTCGCGTTCCGATTTGTATGTGTGTTTTGAAAATCAACCATAGTCGTTTAATTTTTTGCAAGTACCACTCACTAATGCGAACAAGAAATTCAAGCTGAAACGCACCAGGCTTACCGGTACGATCATGCCTTTTTGCGCTAAACTTGTAGATTGTTCAGCAGGAATGGTTTTCGCATGCAGGGAGAAGGGGCGTCATCTGGGATCAAGGTTTTGCATTATGGGGCCGCGAACACTTCCAGCGTGCGTGATTATCATTTTCTTGCATGAAGCCAGGTCGTTTTTTTCATGAATGCTCGTTCATCGAAAAAATGCAAATTTGAAGGGAATCAAAAGAGGATTAGGGAATCCGCAAAATGCGCTCGCTTTTGGGTTAGTGGTAAAACTGAATATTTGCCATGCCCGCATGCACAGAATTTCACCTCCAAACTGAATTAAGCCCATGCGTAAATACAGAATATCTTTGTAAAGTTTCAGCTTCGCACTTCGCTACAAATATCTCTGACACAAGTGCAAATCGAAACTCATTCTAGGTACACGATTTTCTATACGAATAATAAATTATTTGAAAAAATTTCAGCTACTGTTTTTCGACTAATTTTCGAGTTAACACAGTGACAGCTGCGAACTTGGGGGAGGGGGGACGGGAGGGGGGAGTTTCATACGCGAAACCTAGGCGTGTATGAGCGATGATTTTATAACGGAAGAGTGATACATGAGATGGGAATATGATTCCAAAATTTCATCCTTTCAGCTTTTCTTGTTGTTGAGTTGAATTGGGTTAAAAAGTTCACACACATACACACACACACCTACATGAAGAACCTCTCGACAATATGCGCCTTTGCTCACTGTAGTAGCGCTATAGAGTTACTACGCAAAAGCACATAAATTACTACGAATGAGTGCTAAATTTGATGGAAATTCGTTGCGATAGTGGCGTATACCTGTTATGATACTGCATCATTTTTGTACTGTTTCCGAATTATCCCGGCAAATTCGTATGCTCTGACTTTCAGTGACTTTTTGAGGTGAACGAAGGACAATTTCTCAAATTCATATGCCCTGATTATCGGTGGTT